TTACCACACTGTGAGGGACTCCATCTGTGGTGTGACTGTTTATGGCCATTATGCACCTCCACTGTGAATCTGTGGATACCCTACATATCACCACCCATGATAGGAGAAAATAATTGTGTGTTTGAGAAGTTTCGCGGTCGCTACTTGGAGCGACCAAATAATACCAGGCGTGGAACCAGTACTGGCATGATTACCTGGGAAGTATCCCATCTACCCAGCAAGAGTAGTGTGAACGAGGTACCTGGTATGTGTACCTAAGAATACCGAGGAGTTCCATACTTGTAGGTGTGGAGTGTACCCGGGATGTGGTGCTATGATACACATGTGGTGCTATACTCTAACATGTGGTGCAGTCTGATAAGAACATAAGAACATAAGAATGGAGGAAACTGCAGCGGGCCTATTGGCCCATACTGGGTAGTCCCGTTTACAACCAACCCCTATTGCTCATATGAGCATCCAACCTATGTTTGAAGCAATTCAGCGTATTCGAGTTAATGATGATATTTGGTAACTTGTTCCATTCATCCACTACTCTGTTTCCAAACCAGTGTTTACCTATTTCACGCCTAAATCTAAATTTGTCTAATTTAAAACCATTGTTACGAGTTCGCTCCTGGTTGGATAATTTGAGTACCTTTGTAATGTCCCCTTTGTTTAGCCCTGTCTTCCACTTATACACCTCTATCAGGTCGCCCCTCGCTCTACGTCTCTCGAGGGAGTGCAAATTAAGATGCTTTAACCTGTCTCTATACTCAAGGTTCCTAATGCCCGGGATTAGTCTTGTCATTCTCCTCTGAATTCTTTCCAAGGATTCTATATCCATTCTGTAATACGGTGACCAGAACTGAACTGCGTAATCCAGGTGTGGTCTCACAAGAGCAAGATACAGTTTTAGGATGACCTCGCTAGTCTTGTAACTAACACTCCTTTGTATGAACCCAAGTACTTTATTAGCCTTGTTACGAGCAAAAACACATTGTTTACTTGGCTTAAGGTTCCTACTTATCATTACTCCTAAATCTCTCTCGCAGTCGGATTTCTCTATGGCATCGTTGTTCATCTGGTATCTGGTTTCCCTGTTTACATCTCCTATACTGAGTACTTTACATTTGTCGACGTTGAATTTCATCTGCCATTTTTCAGACCATTCGAAAAATTTGTTTAGATCTTCCTGTAGTTTTGCCGAGTCCTCGTCAGATTTGATAACACGTCCCTATTTTAGTGTCATCAGCAAATTTACTTATGTTGCTGTCAATGCCGATATCTATGTCGTTTATGTATATAATAAACAAGTACTGAGCCTTGGGGAACTCCACTTGTGACGTTGCTCCAATGGGACTTAGTGCCGTTAATGCTCACTCGCTGTTTCCTGTCCTGTAACCACGCCCTAATCCATTTAAGGATGTCACCTTTGATGCCATGAGCTTTTACCTTTCTAATTAGTCTTTCGTGGGGGACTCTGTCGAAGGCTTTGCTAAAGTCGAGAGGTACCACATCATAATTGTGCCCCTCGTCCACCTATTCGAAAACTGATGAAAAGAATGTTAATAGATTAGTTAGGCAAGAACGTCCGCTTGTGAAGCCATGCTGGGAATCATTGATCAATCCGTGTTTCTCCAGGTGATTTCGAATCGAGTTTGAAATGATTGCTTCCAGTAATTTGCCTACTATTGATGTTAGACTGATTGGGCGGTAGTTAGAGGATAGTGATCTATCCCCTTCTTGAAAATCGGTATTACATTCGCTATCCTCCAGGATTCTGGTACTACACCTGTTTTTAAGGACATGTTAAACAACTTTGCTAAGGGCATACTAAGCTCTTCCTTACATTCCTTTAATACTCTGGCAAATATCTCATCGGGACCAGGTGACTTATTAGGCTTTAGTTTGTCTATTTGCTTACTAACATCGTTACTAGTCACTACTATCTCACTTAATTTGTTTTCTTCACTATCTCTGAATAGAGTCGGTGCCTCGGGTATCATGTTTAGATTTTCGGTGGTGAAAACTGTTGAAAAATATTTATTCAAATTATTGCTCATTTCTCCGTCGTTATCAGTGAGCTCGCCGGAGTCTGACCGTATTGGTCCAATCTTTTCTCGTGTTTTAGTTTGATACATTTGGTAGAATCCTTTGGGGTTTGTCTTCGCCTCCCTTGCTATCCTTACCTCATTATTCCTCTTTGCTTTCCTTATCTCGGTTTTAACTCTACTCGCCAATACCCTATAATAGTCCCGGAGGTGAATTTCGCCACGATTTATCCTTCTACCTATAGCCTTCCTTTGGCCAATGATGTTCTTTAAATAATTATTTATCCATTTAGGGTCATTGTTGTCTGATCTGAGTTTTTTGTATGGTATGTTCTGCCTTTGTGCATTAAGTAACTCACTATTTAAATTATCGTGGAACTCGGCAATCTCAGATCTCGTTATCAGGTCGGTGTCATCTGTCAGGTTCACGGCCAAGCGCGACACCCCCTCTCTCAGCTGCCTCTTTAAACTGTCAAAGTTTGCCCTTCTGAAATCTGGTACTTTAGTGGAATTTTCCTTACGTCTGCCCTGAAAATTTAACTGGAATCGAATTTCTTTGTGATCGCTGTTTGCAAGTTCGTTCCCTACCTCGACATTGCTAATGAGGTTTTCTCTGTTCGTCAGAACTAAATCCAGTATATTATTACCCCGTGTGGGTTCGGTTATATGTTGACTTAGGAAACAGTCCTGGATCGTCTCGAGAAAATCCTCTGATTCTGAGTTACCCGTAAGGACAGTCCAATCTATTTGGCCAAGGTTAAAGTCGCCTACTATACAGACTTTGTTGTGTATGGAAGCCCTGCGCATTTCATCCCAGATAAGTCGCTCATTGACGCTATCAAGATTGGGGGGTCTATATATTACCCCTGTGATTAATTTTTCCCGACCGTCGCTTAATTCTATCCAAATTGTTTCTGTATTCCTCTCAGTTTTTATTTCCTTATTTATTTCACACTTCAGATTATCCCTAACATAGATTGCTACTCCGCCTCCTTTCCTGGTCTGCCTATCGGTATGGAACAGTTTGTAACCCGCAATTTGGTATTCGACTGGTAATTCACGTGTGTCTAGGTTGATCCATGTTTCAGTGAATGCAATTATATCGATTTCTTCGGTACATACCAAGGCCTTAATATCATCCATTTTGTTTCTCATACTTCTACTGTTCGCGTAGTATACATTTAAGTTAGTCGTGTTCTGAGTCCTTCCCTTACCGCGTTTAGTTTTAAACTCCCTGTCTAATTTAGTTTTGTCATCATTCCTAACACTATTTCCCTGTAATCTTTCGCCTTGTTTACCCGCTCCCACTGCAGTCTCCTCCACCCCCGTGCTCCTATGTTCTCTTAGCAGTTTAAAGACTTCGATATCTTTTGAACTGCCCCCTCTAGAGCCCCAGCCAGGGTTGCTACTCCATCCCTAGACAGGTGCACCCCATCCCTAGCATAAAGGTCCCTTCTGCCATAGAAGTTGTCCCAGTTGTCAATGAATGGGACTGATATTGACTTGCAATATCTGTCAAGACGGTCGTTAACACCAACTGCCCTTGACAACCATTCACTGCCAACTCTCCTTCTAGGCAGGACACCGCATATGATAGGGATCCCTCCCTTAGTCCTAATACGATCTATGGCTGCCTTGAACTTATCAAGAAGTTCCTCGCTCCTACACCGGCCAATATCATTGCCTCCTGCACTGAGGCAGATAATGGGTTTGTTCCCATTACCAGACAAGATATTGTCCATCCTGTCAACTATATCCCCCACCCCAGCTCCTGGCAAACACACCCTCATCCTATTTTTGTTTTTACCACAAAAGGCCCTGTCCATGTACCTTACCTGTGAGTCACCAACAATTAAAGTTTTTATACCTTCCTTGTCATCCCTGCCCCTGACTGTACTAACGTCCAATTCGTCTATCAAGGGACTGAACGGGTTGGTACACTTAGCTGTTGTTGTCGTTGTTGTCGTATCCTTTGAGTGCTTCTTGACCACCAGCTTGGTCCTCCCACTACTCACGACTTTCCACTCGTTTGATTTTTCGTCAGACACTGGCTTTACTCGTCCAGCCTCTCCTTTTAACTTCGCCAGCTCTTTCCTTAATTTCAGGTTCTCCAACGTGGCCCTCTCAATTTCTAACTTGGCCCTCGCCAATTCTTCAGTGGACCACTCCAGTTTGGTCAACAAACTCTCATACCCAAGACCGCACCTACCACTGGCCATATCTGATAATTATCCCTCTGGAGCTAACCCTGCCGTGACCTTTCCCCTAGTGAGGTCAGAACACGTGCTGGGTGTTATGGTAAGAAGGAATGACCGAGGTAAGGAGGTCGTTGGTTGTTATGAAGAATGAAGATGATAATAGTAGTTATTTGAGGAAGGACGTATATTGATGTGTAGTGTAATGAACATAATAGTGGTTCTTCTGAGGAAGGCCAACTCTTTTTGTATTGTGACAAGATGCAAGAAATAAATTAGTTACTGTAAGTCATGCTTGATGTTTCACCCTTCTTCTCAGTCTCGATTTGGTCATTGAAAAACCCAACCCAATGCCTAGCTTACTCTGCCCGCTACCTAACGAGCTACATACTGTCCAGGGGGTCTGGTGGCAGCGACCTTAAAATTAAGAGCAGAGTTAAGTTATCCCCTTAGAATTAGTGACTCCAGAATCGGGCAGTATACTGTGTGCATACATGCATGCACACATGCATGCATGTATGTGCACATACACACACACACACACACACTTTGGAAATGATGAACACACTTACACAAACATATAAATGTGTTCAATCATTCAAGGAAAACTACAAGCACCCAGAACAGCTTGCACCAGGTATAATGAACTAGACAAAAGCATAATATTCTATGATAATGCTTATTCATTTATTAATCATGATACAACCCCTTCACTAGCACACAAGCACCTTCCAAAGGACTTCATAAGCTCACCTCTTGGGTTCAACCGTACCTGAGGGTCAATGATGAGCGGCCAGCGGTCAGAGTTGGTGAGGATGATAGCATTCTCGGTGGACATGCGGTCAGAGGGCAGTCCTTCGTTGTTCCAGACGGCGATGGTGGCGTCGTCCGTTAGCAACTTGATGGGATCGAGGTTGTGTGTGATGGGGATCATTGGCTGTAATGGTTAATTCTTGTCACCATCTGGTTAGTTGTTCTCCTCACCCTAACCCCTCTCTCTCTCTCTCTCTGTCTTTCTCTCACTCATTTTCTCTATGCTCTCTCTCACTCACTTTCTCTGTACTCTTTCACTTATTTATCTCTCTCTTTCTATCTCTTTCCCTCTCTCTGTTTATCTGTCTCTCTTTCCTTCTTATTATTTCTTTCATTCTTGACACAAATTGTTGTCTGATTTGAGCACAACTGGCATAAATATCATGATATATTATTACTTTTATAAATATCCCTTCAATATTGTTATTTATCTTGGCATAAGCCCTTCCTCATTAAGCTTCAAGATTAACACAGTAGAAAGGTCGTACACCCGTCTACTGCCTCAGGCTTTATAAATAACTTAGGTTCTCGCCACACACTCCGTACCTCTCCCTAATTACTTATTAATTTTTGGAATGTACATCTACTCTACAGAAAATATCAACAGCTAGAGAGGGTGCAGCTCAGTAAGGGTCACTATACAAAGTCTACTTAGTGCAATGTTTTGATCACATAACCTCAAGATATTGTGATGTGCTAGCAAAGATCTCAACATAGAGAGCGAAAAACCGACCCATGTTAACGTGCACCAAAAGCCTACTGAAGTTTACCAAAAATATAATGAAATGTATGATGGCAAAATTCTACAGCTTACGTCACTAAAGTACATAATTTTTGTTTTCACTACATAAAAAATCCCAAATGGTCCTGTGTTGTGGAGTGAAATATTAGTTTCTAAAGTAAAAACAATACATGTACATCATTAGACTAGAATTTATACACAAAATAATATAATTCAAAATTACCAGTAAACCCTAATTTTAATGATATATACAAACAAAAGAAACTGAAAATATGACACCACAGTATTCACATTAGATATAATTGCATCCCCCCCGAAAAAAAAAATAAGAAAAAAAATACAGATGTACAATAAGTTTGAGGGACAGATCCTGTTGGCAGTACTTCATGTTTGCAGAGACGTGATCCCATTATGCGTGTCTTCTTAATCCAAATTTTCAAAGGAACTTCGAGTTTGGTTCCATGTTCTGCTTCGTGTCAACACATGCATTTTATTTCCAGTAACTAGATACCAGACTAGAATATGTATGAATGTAGATCAGGTGGGAACTATGATGACTGTCTGGCAATGCACAGTATCTCAAAAAAGTATCTGCCAGGATGGGTCAAATGGCTTCTGAAATGCTACATGCAACTCATGATGTTCCGGGAGGGTTGGTATACATGGCTCTGTGGCATATTGATCCTAAGTATATTTTGTAACCGAACATCACATGAATTACACATTGCATTACTTATATTAAACTATATACCAAAGTAAATGTATGTCCCAATATCTATCATTAGTGGTCTCATAATCATTCATACAGTGTGGATAGATACTTTTTTTGAGATACTACACTGGTTAAGTCTTGTGGTGTTGGGGCTATGCCTAAGATAAATACTTTTCAAATCTTTCGTTTTAAAGAGAATCATATTAATATATATTTTTTTAAGACAAGTGTAGGAAAATCATGTCAATTCATTCAAAATTAGAACCTCGAAATGGTGTGGACAAAAGTCTTATAATTATTACAGAAATAAAAAAATTGGATAAATGATTTAAACATCATAAGACAATAATTAACTTGAAGTTTGGAGCTGCAAACATTCATTGCCAATATAACACTACTGACTACTATAATGGAAGAAAATAATCATATCCAGCTATGATTGTTTACAATGAGGTTAAAAAATATACAAATATTAAATAATAAGTCTACGCTAACTTTCCTGGAAGTAAGCAATATACAGTACAGTAATGTAGAATGAAGACAAGTTACGCAATTTATACAGCAGAAAATTTACACACTCTTGTGGAAGCCACTAATATATTACTGAAAAGGACAAAAACAATTCTACACATAAAAACGTGCTGGATGAAACGGCTTAGCAATGTCTATAATATATACAAGGAGCTAATTAGCATCATATCTTGGGTTATAGTCTACAAGAGCAACAGGGAAATATCAGCAATTTTGTCGACGAACTTCGGTGGAAAAAAAAATTTTCAGCAGCATTCCAGACAGAAGTCACCGTTCGTCACCAAACTGCAGGTAGGGAAAGTGTGCACGGAACACAAACCAGGGCAAAGGAGAGCTTTATAATAGCACAAGGAAAGTAATTCACGAGTCCTCACATTGGTTGTCTGGAGACGGTGCCACCAAGGTGTCCAGTTGACAGCGAGGAGGGATCAGAGACCGAGTGGCCCATGATGTAAATAAGAATAAAAATCGGATGAGAATTTTCAACCTAACTTTCATGAAAAAAAAGTACCTTCACATGGGAACAATGGAACAATGGAACAATGGCACTGAACAAGGTGCTTACGTTGAGCTTCTGAAGGAGAGGTAGCCACATCTTGTCCATCAAGTCACGACGGTAGTGTTTGGTGAAGCAGCCAACATACGAGATGAAAGCCGACACTAGCAGGATGTCTCCGGGTAAAGTCTTCTCAGAGTTGTGCATACTATTGAGGAAAATGAACTTGTAACTCTAGAACTATTGCTTCACATTTACCTCCCATGAGGTACAGGCAGTATCCCTTCTACCCAACAATGTTTATATACAAGTAAAATAATGAATGAACGTATAGATGTGGCTCGTGTAAAACAACCTCTTACAACTTTTGAAATATATTATGAACGTTTATAAACTAAGGAAGTAAAAGAAATGGCAGGGAGTAGCTTATGAAGGCCCAGTTACAAAACCAAGTTATAAGTGAAGGTGACATTGGTTTGTGAATGCATTGGGGAGAAATACGGTAGATATGATAGTGAGTTACAAGAAAAAGTTACAATTTATTTATATACGCAATGATGACTTACGAATAGAAAAAGGCGAAAACTCTCAGATGGAAAGTCAAGGAGAAAATACAAGAGACAAACTTACTGGGAGACGGCCTCGGACCAGCGGATCTTCTCAGACGAGAGGCCTCCCACCAGACGGTTGGCCAAGGCAATGGTGTGCGCCGTGCTGTTGGCCTCCTTCTCACATCTCATCTTCTCTGCTGTTGCTTTGTCAAACTCTGCCCGGAGGTGACCCAGCTGTTCCTCTAGACTCTGGTGGACACACACACACGTCAAATGAGTCACAGATAATCTTGAAATTATGTGGAGGAACGAATGTGCTGGAAGTTGTGAGGTTGGTGAAGGGAGGAAGTGGAAAATGGCATGTGTGGTTGGTGGTAAAGAGGTATTATGTGAAAGGAAAAAGAGAAAGAGGCCACAGCCTACCTTTATCTTGGAGGTGATGGAGGTAAGACGGTTCTGGGCAGCAGCCAGCTCAGCGTTGGCTTCCTCCAAGGCGCGTCTCTTTGGCTCCACGTCACAGTACACCTCAAAGAAACGGATGATATTGATGACCCACGAGCAGAGACCTGTCGAGGAAACCGCATTTGACACCAGTTTATATTATATAATGCATATTTTTACAGTGTGTTTTCTATCAATTGATTATCCTTTCTCATTTCCAAACATTACAACACTGTGCAAGCACGCACACGCGCGTGCACACACACACCTGCTGCCGCTACAGACTTGGAGCGGATGAAGTCTGGATTAAACTCTGGGTTCTCCAAGTATGGATGGATGGCCTTGATGATATCAGGGTGAATGTCCTCCTTGTTATAGTTAATCAACTGATCGAGGAACTGGTCCACCTTCGCCATCATCACCTGCCGGAACCAAAGAAGTATAGCGAACTGTATGTGGGACTGTTTATTTTCAAGATTTTTTTCTTTTATAATTGTGTCATTAGTTATCTCTCTCATATTGTCTTATTAGTTCTCTCTCTCTCTCTCTCTCTCTCTCTGTTTCATATGTTCCTGAAAACCTAATCACAGGTCAAAATATTGTAAACCAGGTTCATTATAACAAGGGGTTCATGGGATAGGTTCCCAGTCAGCCAGTTGAACCCCCATACATCACTGAAAAAAATTCCTAGAATATTACGAGCACTACAACTTAATTAAACAACACTTACCACATCAATAAAAACAAGCCTGGTCATCATTATGTCTCAGCCTTCAAATAGTTTATCTCCTAAATAGCAAACTATATTTGTTCATATTTGGTATTTTTATCATTATACTACAAGGCACCAATAGTTTCTTATTAATTTTGGTAACTAAACATAGTTTAAGAGATAAGGTTTCCCACATCCTGTGAAAAAGTTTCCTTTCTCGTTTGTCATTTGGGCAGTACATTCAAAAGTACTTACTTTGTAAACTTGTTCAAATTACTAGGAATGTAATCCTATAATCAATATAATAATCTATTACTTTGCATGAAGAATATTTACAATAATATTTACATTTATCATGCCACTTTTTGCGACAGTTATAGTTATGTGCATTAATTGTTTGTTTTGTAGATAATTTTCATCAAAATAAGCTAGATATATACATAGTTATAACAAATACATATAAATATTTGTTAAATTCATCAAAATCCTGAATATATATATATATATATATATATATATATATATATATATATATATATATATATATATATATATATATATATATATATATATATATATATATATATATATATATATATATATATATATATATATATATATATATATATATATATATATATATATATATCTTGATAAAATCACAGGGAAAATGGAAACAACGGAGCACCTTAGCTTTCGTCTTTATTCAAAACATCTTCAGAGACATCTTCAGAGACATCTTCAGAGACATCTTCAGAGACATCTTCCCGTGTGATTTTATCAAGATTTATCTTATCCACGTTTTCATTGTAGATTTACATGAAATATATATATATATACAGTATATATACATATTTTTTTTTTTAAACTACCAACCATATGACACTTGATTATGATATACTCTACCACAGAAGACAAATCACCTAAACACTTGATTAATATATAATATAAAGTAGACCAGACTAGACCCGAGATAAGTTACGAGCCTGGGTAACAAGACTCAGTATTTTGTCACTCCACATACAATACTGTATAGAATAAACCAGGGTCAATGCTAGACAGGTTGGAAGCCTAGATAATAAAACAAATACACTGTAATGCCATCTATTCACTTAAACTTTATGAAGACAGTATTTACTAATATTTAGATTAACTTTTCAACCAACAGTAGTGTGGTGACAGGATCTACTTATACCAGTTAATAGTTACGTGCCACAATTTTAATAGTTACGTGCCCACAATTAAGACGTAACATAACTTCTAACCTCACCTCCAAAATTGTACTTCTCAAACAATTAACACTCACAACAGTAGCTTCGGTGAGGAACAGTCATGAGTAGATCACATTAAAAGACTTGTCCTCCTTTTTGCAGATCACTTGTGTGTATAACTGTACAGTACATCCATAGTAGGACAAGGAATTCTGGGTAATTTCTAATCATTAACATCTTCATTGGCTACTGTCCTTCCCAGCTGACATTCTGTTTCCTGACTGCTGCATGAACACAACCAAACAACTTTATCAGCAGTTCACGACAGAGCGGCTGCCGTACGTGGAGTCGAGCACATTGATGTGTGATAGAATTTACATATAACAGAAATACTGTACATGCCAACCAGTCATTAATGAACAAATAAATGACAGTACAATGATCTTTAAGCTATTTATTTGTACTAGCATTAACAGACTCTCATTTAAGGCAAACTGAAGTACAATATTTTGTGACAAAAGTTCTGTACCAACCAATATTTTCTGCTATTGAAATGCTATTTCTGGATGAAAAGTACCATAATATTAATATGTTGACAGATCATGTATGAGAGAATAAAAACTGAAAATGTGGCAGAAGTTTTACAGAAAATTAAATACTGTATATATTTTTTTTAGCTGCATCAACCAATTCTTTGAAACCAAAGTTGTCTGTTATGTCTCCATCTCATCATGGAATTGCTGACAAATATCCAATATTACCTTTCATTTTGAATAATAGCACACAAATTTCATCAATGCTAAAATTAGCAGACGAAAACAGAAGTGTGATGCATTGTGAAATTGCACATGTGTACCACACCTCTACGAAAATTCGTCAGGACCGTTCATTTATTTGATGCTTCACTTATGGACTTAATCTAACTTTCAGGGAGTAAATAAATCTTCTAGTTTATGTACAGAACTGCTAATGATGTCTTTTCACACTACTTGACAATATTATATGAACAAGACATAATACTCTATACTGGATTTGCAGACCCATGAGTGGACGTGAAGGGAACAGGACTTTAATTTTTCCAACATGTCATGAGCAGTGCCATGGGGTGAGAGTTAATGGTAGGCGAGAAAATGTGAGAGACAGAGATGAGTAAGGTCATGAAGTGGCAGAGACAAAAATTGACAGTGCTACATGGTGAGATACATAAATGGACAGTGATACATGGTGAGATACATAAATGGACAGTGATACATGGTGAGATAAGCAAATGGACAGTGATACATGGTGAGATAAGCAAATGGACAGTGATACATGGTGAGATAAGTAAATGGACAGTGATACATGGTGAGATAAGTAAATGGACAGTGATACATGGTGAGATATGTAAATGGGCAGTGATATGTAGAGATACATAAATGGACAGTGATACATGGTGAGATACATAAATGGACAGTGATACATGGTGAGATAAGCAAATGGACAGTGATACATGGTGAGATAAGCAAATGGACAGTGATACATGGTGAGATAAGTAAATGGACAGTGATACATGGTGAGATAAGTAAATGGACAGTGATACATGGTGAGATATGTAAATGGGCAGTGATACATGATAAGAGAGAGAGTGAGGGACAGTGATAAGAGAGCAGTCGGTAGACAGGCAGGACTCACCTTAGCAGCCTTCCAGGAGCGCTCTTTAGGGATCTTGCCATTAGGCGCCAGGAGCACCATTACAGCAGCTGTCACGCTGGATACTCCTGAAGGTGGTGAGCCGAAGGATTTCAGCTCCGTGAGGTTAGCCTTTGAGAATTACAGAATAACATCAGATTGACCACTCAGATTAAGTGAGGTATTATCTGAAAGATTGATATGGCTCTTTGCTGGTATAGCCAAAGAATTCCATCAAGATAGTAGGTAGGCAGCTATCAAACAGGGAGGTACTACTGCCTGGGAAGATATTGGAAGCATAATGCGTTGTCTAATGGTAGACCCTGCTGCCATATGGCATCACAAAACTTGTGACCAAGTCCTAGGATGCCGATCTGACTTTCTGCCTCATTTACACACATTTGCTGGGTCTCAATTGTTTCTCGTATTATTGACAACACAACATTCATATATCGTTTCTCACTATTGATCTTTTTTCATTTTTGTATTTCTTTATGGTTCTTTATTATTATTATTATTATTATTTTATTTTTATTTTTATTATAAATTTTATTTACTATGAACTAATTATTATTATTATTATTATTATTATTATTATTATTATTATTATTATTATTATTATTATTATTATTATTATTATTATTATTATTATTATTATTATTATTAGTGTGTGTGTATATTATTACATTTTCGCCCCCCAGGTCGATATTGGGTGTGAGCCTGTCTTGGTGGGCTAATCCCGTAAAAAAAGAAAAAAAAAAAAAGTTAAAATAGTAAAATTTCAGGTGTGAATCAAAATAATTATTCACAAAAAATGCAGCAAAAATCACTCTGAGAAAAAGTTTCCCACCAGTCACACTTAGCAAAACAATTTTCCATGATTATATACAGTACTGCGCTTCAGTGGTGTCTTATACAATGCCTCCTTACTTACCGGAGATTTAACATACACTGCGATGTGTCGCCACCATCTAATGGACATTCACAATTATGGGACCAACTAATGCTTATAGTTATGAAGTCTTAGTGAAAGTAGATCAATAGGCCTGAGAGCTCATTAGGAAAAGGTATATAAAGTACACAAGCAGTCAGTGTTAACCAGCATTGTACTTGACATTCCCAACTGTTCGATTACGTATATATATTCATATCTGGGTTGAGTGGGGCTCCCCAGGCACAAATCAGCGACCCTCAGGATATGAGTCGAACGCTGTTATCTACTTGGACTACCTGATTTTTAACTGGGAACATATGTTAGGTCAATGACTTAGTCTTCATACCTTGTTGAGGGTGTGGAGCGCCTCCTTGGCTGCCACGAGGGCGGGTTCAGCCTTCACCAAATCTTCTTCACACTCTTTCCTCCTCTTTGCCACCTCAGTTTCGATAATGGCCACCCGCCGCTTCTCCTCATTGGCCACCTCATTCTCTTTGGACACCTGATGGAGGAAATAATTTGGCATGAGTGAAATAACTATATCCAGGTGTGTGTGTGAAGCTTTCCTTATTCATTATTATTATTTCATCGATTAAATTACTGTATTATTATTGTGACAAGTCCTATTTTGTTTCTATTTGTTATTGCTTTAATCAAAATTAACAGTCATGTTATTGCCATATTATTATTATTATTATTATTATTATTGTTGTAATGATCATCAACAGCATTTTAATTAAGTACTACTGTTATCACTATTACCATCATTATTGCTCTCACATTCATAATATTATTATCATCACTATTATTATTATTAACATAGCATCATTATTACCATCATTAGCATTATTATGAGTAGCAGTAGTGTTTATTTATTTTCATAACCTATTCGTTCTATACTTGACTATCAACTTTTAAGACTTGCCTTTGCAGTCTCCGCCTCCACAATACGGATGAGCTTGTCGGCCTCGTCGTTCTTCTTCTGCAACTCCACCTCCTGCGTTGCCAGCTTGGCCTTGAGGGCGTCAACCTGCAAGAGAAGACACATTTCTTGTGTTACAGTTTTTCATATTTTTATTTTCCACTTGTTTTGTGTCAGAAAGTCTGACTACAAAGTTAAATAAAGTCAGATTAGGGTAAGTTATCAGGGCTGTAGTTCTACATTCTGAAACAAGCATGGACTAACCTGGGCTGAAGTGGTTCTCAGTTTCTCCAGACCATTCATGAGTCTCTCAATCTTTGCCTGGAGGTCATTGTGTTTGGCACAAAGCAGGTTGGAGTAGAGCGAAATGAAGCCGAGGAAGGTTTTGGGTGTAGTATAATTATAACGACGATCATTAGTAAGGTAGAGGCGGCTCATGTCATTGACGGACCCATGTACATGAGACATGAACTTGGACACAGACTCTCGTAGCCCCTCCTATAGGAAAGAGCAAGAAACACAGAGGTTAATACATGAACCCCTTTTGTCAGAGGGCCTTACTTAGTACGTCCTCCTACACCAAGCATAACACCAGAAGAACGTACCTGGTATGTCCTTTAATCTACCCGACATTTATAGTTTTGAATTTTTAGGTCTTTATTTATGCCCCTTTCAGAGGGATGGCAGTCCTACATACACAGGCCAACTGGCCATCAAACTGAATTACGGAGACTCTCGCCTCGTAGTGCAGCTGCACCCCAAGTTTGAGTCACCGTTGACTGCTAGTGGGTGTAAGGAATGAGACAGAGGAACTCGTTCCTCATAGTGTGCGCCAAGACAAGTTAGTGAAGTGGTTGTTTTCTACAGCAGGTTTTTAAATGGTAAAAATGTTTGGATATACAGTACACTAATGGTAAAATGATGTCCAAGACACTGGTAGTTAGGATGAATTTACAGAGTTTATCAAAGGTTTTGTTAATTGGAAACATGGAGAGAATTGGTTTGTACTCTGAGATGTAATGCTCAAGGCTGTGTTTTCTATTTTTGCCACAAATTCGGCACTGTGTAAGTGTAAGGGAAGGATTTCTAATGAGTTCCCAACATGACCAAGAGCCAAGTCTGATTCTGGCAGTAACTACATCACTGAGTCGAGTCAGACATTTATTCCTTCCGTATTGATATTTTGTGCCACAATGTTTATCATAGCAGCGAACACTAACACTGGCTCTTCAGTGTTCACTTCGTTCTTCGGTTATGATTTGATGAGCAGCTTTCTTGAGGAGCGTGTTCACTCAACCAGGAGTTATGGTTAAAGCGTCATCAGGGATAGGGAGTATGCAGGCGGATTTTGCGAGCCTGTCTACATAGTCGTGTTTGTGGAGGACAATATGGGATGGGATCCATAAAAAGTGGATAAGGAGGGCATCTGTCTTCACCCTTATGAGGCAATGCTGGATTTGTCTCACTAGATCCTGACAGACGGGAGGAGGTAAGTGATTGACTCTAGTCCAGAACGAGAATCACTGATCACCATTCCACTCCGCTCCTCGTCCAGCAAGTACCACAGTTGATGGCCCGAGGGTGCCCTGTAGTTACATCCTTGTTATGCTTGCCCAATCCGGTAGGCGATTCATTGCTTCGGTGACACATGTCATTCTGGAATACGCCACATAACACAGCCTGCTGCACCCATGTCCTGTAGTGAGCCGTTGGTGTAGACGATGAATGAGTCCTCTGGGATGACTTTTGTGACGTCACTGATCTTCTGTAGTGATGCTTGTCGTTGTACTATTAGATGATCATTTGTCTTAGTGTCAGAGTAGTGTAGGGACGGCAGAGTGATGGCCCATGGTGCCATCAGTCCAAAACCTCACAAAAGTCCAACAGCTTCCAACCAATCCAGTAGTCCTTATACTTCTCTAACTCAGCCATTGACTCCATTTGCACATAAATACAATAAAAATAACACTGAAAACGGATCTAACTCACACCACCATGGTGTTGTCCAGATTTCTGTTTTCTGTGTACTCAACAGTAAGAAATGTTTGGAGGGTGAAATTGCTCTGATATGGCACTGGGCTTATTCTAAAATGCTCTGATATCTCACTAGCCCCAGTCAGATATTTTCTCTCCTGTGTTGGGGTGAGTATTGAGCTTAATGTATTTATCTGTTTTCTTACCTTTTTCTCTAAGTAACCAGCCTGTTCTGTTTACTTGTTTGATAAGAGACTGACCACGACGTTGTGGGTGGTGGGCTGCCAGCTGAGTGATAAAGCGATAATTCACACACACCCTTCCTCCACCTACACACCCCTCTCCTCACTCTCCCCCTCCTTCACTCACACCCCCTTCCATCACAAACACACACACACACACACACACACATCCTTTCCATTACACATACATATTCCCACTCTCACACATCCCCTCCTTCACACACCCCCTCGAAAATAGTGTTTGGTGACCGTATTGGCTACTCTGGTGCTGACATAGTTTTTTGTAATGAAACTGGGACCCTTATTGTTTTCTGTAAATTATTTTATCACAATAATGTCAGTATGGATATTCCATAGTCCTTGCAATTGCCTTTCTGTATCACTATACCTGTACTTGCTGACCATAAAAGCAACTCAAGATTCAAGTTCATCCGCCAGTAAAGATAATGACTTTTATGGCATAGAATTCTACTGTATATTACTTCACTTTGCCAGTGTATGGATACAGTTAATACTTTGAGGACGATAGATTAACATCTTAAGATTTATTGCTTTAGTTATCAACATTACAGAGTTATAGTTTACACCATACAGTAATCCTTAAAAGGTACACCCATGAAAGACAGTATTACGACCTTTGCTGGTCTTTACCCTCTGGAACACAGGGTCAAGTATTTTGAGATACCCTGGGTATAATGGAGTGTTGGTATGCCGACTCTCTTTGCCAAATACTTCCTTATGTTAGAGATACAAGTCATTTAGTGGGATTCATTAGATATTTTGTTTCTTTGTCTGCCTTTTATTTCATTTGGATGATTGTTAAGGAGAATGAAGTGGCTCCAACACTTATACACCACTTCGGTTTCAATTGCATAATAAAAGAGTCAAATCCATATCGAATCTCATGAGCCGAGACCATTATCCATAATCCGAGCTCATCTAACTAAAAGAGAATACACATAAATAACCATAAGAATGAATATCTGAATTAAACTGACGTAACTAATGGGTAGATGAGATATTACTACATAATCTCTAATTATTTCAGTCAGCCCTTTACTACATGTTGGTTTTCTTTCATAAATACATATCATTTGGGAAATGACAACTGTTCTGTTTAGGTCTGAAACAATTCTTTCCTACTGTATGCCATAAATACATCTCCAAACAATGATTCATCATTAAAGTGCTACACAACACTTAACCATACATTTTATCCCAAATATTGAGCTTAGTATTATTTCAGTAGTCTAAATCAAAGAAAATTGCATTAAAAAAACATACTCATATAAGGCCTATATAGTCAGCAGTAACAACCTAACGGACACAGCAGTGTCCCAAAAAAGTCCTGTCGCGAACCATGAACACCGAGATTCAGACTCTTGAATCCGAAGCATTAATGGGCAGAATAATGTATCAGTGTCTATTGCTTCGGGTTCACGAGTCTGAATCGTGGTCCGCGACAGAACTTTTTTGGGTGATTGTACATATTTGTTCATTCCGATTTTCATTGGACCCGAGGGTCGCGATACTTTTTTGATGAGTGCACAATGCTACAGCCATCACTTACCGGCAAGTACACAATGTTGCCCAGGAAGGTCTCGGAGACAGACACCAGCGCCTCTTGCGGCCACTCGTGGAACCAGTCGATGGTGGTGCAGCTGATGATGGCTGGGAACTGGCGGGCCCGAACCCTGTATCACGAGTAAACAGTTATGATAGTTTATAGATCTGAAGAAAAAATTCAAGGAGCATCATCAAATGACTGTCATTGACGATACAATATTGTTTATTTGTTATTCACTAGTTAGTAAAGATAAGTTACTGTAATAATCTGTGGTTATTAATACCTGTACCCTTCACATACGTCAGGAGCACACCCCAGCATCACACACACACACCCTCCAACACTACCCACACACCCCAGCATCACACACACACACACACACACCCTCCAACACTACCCACACACCTCAGCATCACACACACACACACACCCTCCAACACTACCCACACACCCCAGCATCACACACACACACACACACATACCACTCCAACACTACCCACACACCCAAGCATCACACACACACACACACACATACCTCAGCACTACCCACACACACCCCAGCACATCACACACACATACCCTCAACACTACCACACACCCCAGCATCACACACATACCCTCCAACACTACCCACACACCCAGCATCCACACACACATACCCTCCAACACTACCCACACACCCCATACACACACACACACACACACACCCTCCAACACTACCCACACACCCCAGCATCACACACACACACACATACCTCCAACACTACCCACACACCCCAGCATCACACACACATACCCTCAACACTACCCACACACCCCAGCCACACACACATACCCTCAACACTACCACACACCCCAGCATCACACACCCCCTTACCCTCCAACACTACCCACACACCCCAGCATCACACACACACACACACACACACCCTCAACACTACCTACACACCCCAGCATCACACACACATACCCTCCCTACCCACACACCCCAGCATCACACACACACATACCCTCAACACTACCCACACACCCCAGCATACACACACACACCCTCAACACTACCCACACTCCAGCATCACACACACACACCAACACTACCCACACACCCCAGCATCACACACACACACCAACACTACCCACACCCCCCAGCATCACACACACACACACACACACACACACACACAGGAATTAAGACAGCAAGCATCCAGAGTGAGGGTCTTATTGTGTGGTGGTGAGTTAAAGTTATCAGCTGTTGAGGAGCACTTAACATAAGAACATAAGAATGGAGGAAACTGCAGCGGGCCTATTGGCCCATACTGGGCAGTCCCGTTTACACCCAACCCCTATTGCTCATATGAGCATCCAACCTATGTTTGAAGCAATTCAGCGTATTCGAGTAACACACTGGTGCATGTTACCACTCCTTTCCCTCTGCTTTCTCATTCCATATTTTAAAATGTTATGTTATGTACTGTTGAAGGGATACAACGTTGCTCATTTATACAGTACTGTACTTACACTTATCATAATCTCCCCCAAAAATACTTTAGCTTTCGTCTTTTTCAAGACATCTTCAGGTCATGAGACACAATAATCCACCACTTAACAATGGTTGACCTAATATTGCATCAGGAGGTCAGTTACCTAAGACCAACTAATCCCCCACAGCTCCATGGGGGTGTACAATACCAGTCTTCATTGTAACACAGCTTCATTCATGCCTGTATCATATAGAATTTTAATTTTAAATATATTTGTTTAACCAAACTTTTAGAAAAAACTATTCTGGATTATTCTAGTAAAGAAATGAAGTTTCTAACTTAATTAGAACTGCTTTTATAGACTTTTACAGAAACATTCTGGGAATGTGGCCACCTGACTGCAAAATGCATAGTTTAGAAACTCGGAAATTTTCCCCAGAAACCTGTTTACCTGAGGGTGGAACCAACAGGAGAGAAGCAGAGGACCATCTTAAGGTTCTTCCTGACGCGGTCGATGAAGAACCTCCAGCAGTTTTCTCGTGTGTCCTGCTGGCCTGTGCTCTTCACCTGCAGGGTGTGTGTGCAGGTGGGCACGACCCGAGATGGTGTGGGCAGGGTATTGTAGGTATGGTGTTGTGGGATAGGTTGATGTGGACAAGGTGATGTGGGTAGGTAGGATGGTGTAGGTAGGATGGTGTAGGTAGGATGATGTGGGTAAGATAGTGCAGGCAGGGTGGTGCATCATGGACAGCAAGAGAGGGGGAGGTGAACAGTGTTATGGAGAGGTGAGGAACAGTGTTATGGGAGAGGTGAACAGTGTTATGGGGAGAGGTGAACAGTTGTTATAGGGACAGGTGAACAGTGTTATGGGGAGAGGTGAACAGTGTTATAGGGAGGTGGCGAACAGTGTTATAGGAGAGGTGAACAGTGTTATAGGGAGAAGGTGAACAGTGTTATGGGAGAGGTGAACAGTGTTATGGGAGAGGTGAACAGTGTTATGGGAGAGGTGAACAGTGTTATAGGGAGAGGTGAACAGTGTTATAGGGAGAGGTGAACAGTGTTATGGGAGAGGTGAACAGTGTTATAGGGAGAGGTGAACAGAGTTATGGGAGAGGTGAACAGTGTTATGGGAGAGGTGAACAGTGTTTATAGGGAGGTGAACAGTGTTATAGGGAGAGGTGAACAGTGTTATGGGAGAGGAGGTGAACAGTGTTATGGGAGAGGTGGCGAACAGTGATGTTATGGGAGAGGTGAACAGTGTTATGGGAGAGGTGAACAGTGTTATGGGAGGGTGAACAGTGTTATGGGAGAGGTGAACAGTGTTATGGGAGAGGTGAACAGTGTTATGGGAGAGGTAACAGTGTTATGGAAGAGGTAAACATTGTTATGGGAGAGGTGAACAGTGTTATGGGAGAGGTGGTGAGTGTTATGGGAGAGGTGAACAGTGTTATGGGAGGTGAGGAACGGTGTTATAGGGCAGGGTGAACAGTGTTAGAGGTGAACAGTGTTATGGGAGGTGAACAGTGTTATAGGGAGGTGAACAGTGTTATGGGAGAGAGTGAACAGTGTTATGGGAGAGGTGAACAGTGTTATGGAGAGGTGAACAGTGTTATGGGAGGGTGAACAGTGTTATGGAGAGGTGAACAGTGTTATGGGAGAGGTGAACAGTGTTATAGGACGGGTGAACAGTGTTATAGGGAGAGGTGAGGAACAGTGTTATAGGAGGTGAACAGTGTTATAGAGAGGGTGAACAGTATTTATGGGAGGTGGAACATTGTTGTTATGGGAGGTGAACAGTGTTATGGGAGAGGTGAACAGTGTTATAGGAGGTGAACAGTGTTATGGGAGGTGAACAGTGTTATAGGAGGTGAACAGTGTTATGGGAGGTGAACAGTGTTGCCGAGGAGGGTGAACAGTGTTATAGGAGAGGTGAACAGTGTTATAGGGAGGTGACCAGTGTTATAGGAGGTGAACAGTGTTATGGGGAGGGTGAACAGTGTTATGGGAGAGGTGAACAGTGTTTGTAGGAGAGGTGAACAGTGTTATGGGGAGAAGTGAACAGTGTTATGGGAGGGTGAACAGTGTTATAGGAGGTGAACAGTGTTATAGGTAGGGGTGAACAGTGTTATGGGAGGTGAACAGTGTTATGGGAGAGGTGAACAGTGTTATAGGGAGAGGTGAACAGTGTTATGGGAGGAGGGTGAAAGGGGTGTTATGGGAGGTGAACAGTGTTATGGGAGGGTGAACAGTGTTATAGGGAGAGGTGAACAGTGTTATAGGGAGAGGTGAACATTGTTATGGGAGAGGTGAACAGTGTTATGGGAGAGGTGAACAGTGTTATGGGAGGTGAACAGTGTTATGGGAAAGGTGAACAGTGTTATAGGGAGAGGTGGAACAGTGTTATGGGAGAGGTGAACAGTGTTATGGGAGAGGTGAACAGTGTTATAGGGAGAGAGGTGAACAGTGTTATGGGAGGGTGAACAGTGTTATGGGAGAGGTGAACAGTGTTATGGGAGAGGTGAACAGTATTATAGGGAGGGTGAACAGCGTTATGGAGGTGAACAGTGTTATGGGAGGAGGTGAACAGTGTTATAGGAGAGGTGAACAGTGTTATGGGAGGAGTGAACAGTGTTATGGGAGAAGGTGAACAGTGTTGTAGGAGAGGTGAACAGTGTTATGGGAGAAGTGAACAGTGTTATGGGAGAGAGAGGTGAACAGTGTTATAGGAGAGGTGAACAGTGTTATAGGTAAAGGTGAACAGTGTTATGGGAGAGGTGAACAGTGTTATGGGAGGTGGAACAGTGTTATAGGGAGGTGGTGATGTTATGGGGAGGTGAAGGGGAGTGTTATGGGAGAGGTGAACAGTGTTATAGGAGAGGGTGAACAGTGTTATAGGGAGAGGTGGTTTGGTGTTATAGGAGGGTGAACATTGTTATGGGAGGGTGAACAGTGTTATGGGAGGGTGAACAGTGTTATGGGAGAGGTGAACAGTGTTATGGGAAAGGTGAGAACAGTGTTACATGGGAGGTGAACAGTGTTATAGGGCAGGGAGCCGAACAGTGTTATAGGGAGAGGAGTGAACAGTGATATGGGAGAGGTGAACATTGTTATGGGAGGAGTGAACAGTGTTATGGGAGAGGTGAACAGTGTTATGGGAGAGGTGAACAGTGTTATGGGAGGGGTTGGGGTTGGGGATCGAACAGTGTTATAGGGAGAGGTGAACAGTGTTATAGGAGGTGAACAGTGTTATAGAGAGGTGAACAGTGTTATGGGAGAACATTGTTATGGGAGAGGTGAACAGTGTTATGGGAGGTGAACAGTGTTATGGGAGAGGTGAACAGTGTTATGGGAGAATTGAACAGTGTTATAGGAGAGTGAACAGTGTTATGGGAGAGGTGAACAGTGTTATAGGGAGAGGTGAACAGTGTTATGGAGGTGAACAGTGTTATAGGAGAGGTGAACAGTGTTATAGGGAGAGGGAACAGTGTTATGGGAGAGGTGAACAGTGTTATAGGGAGAGGTGAACAGTGTTATAGGGAGAGGTGAACAGTGTTATGGGAGAGGTGAACAGTGTTATGGGAGGTGAACAGTATTATAGGAGGTGAACAGTGTTATGGAGGTGAACAGTGTTATGGGAGGTGAACAGTGTTATAGGGAGAGGTGAACAGTGTTATGGGAGGTGAACAGTGTTATGGGAGAGGTGAACAGTGTTATAGGAGAGGTGAACAGTGTTATGGGAGAGGTGAACAGTGTTGTGGGAGAGGTGAACAGTGTTATAGGGAAAAGGTGAACAGTGTTATGGGAGGAGTGGGCACAAAGTGTTATGGGAGAGAATTGAACAGTGTTATAGGAGAGGTGAACAGTGTTATGGGAGAGGTGAACAGTGTTATGGGAGAGGTGAACAGTGTTATGGGAGAGGTGAACAGTGTTATGGGAGAGGTGAACAGTGTTATGGGAGAGGTGAACAGTGTTATGGGAGGTGAACAGTGTTATAGGAGAGGTGAACAGTGTTATGGGAGAGGTGAACAGTGTTATAGGGAGAGAGGTGAACAGTGTTATAGGGAGAGGTGAACAGTGTTATAGGAGAGGTGAACAGTGTTATAGGGAGGAACATTGTTATGGGAGGTGAACAGTGTTATGGGAGAGGTGAACAGTGTTATGGGAGGAGTGGAACGGAGTGTTATGGGAGAGGTGAACAGTGTTATGGGAGGTGAACAGTGTTGTTATAGGGCGGGTGAACAGTGTTATGGGAGAGATGAACAGTGTTATGGGAGAGATTGTGAACAGTGTTATGGGAGGTGAACGGTGTTACATGGGAGGGTGAACAGTGTTATGAGGAGGTGAAGGTGTTGTTGGAGAGGTGAAGAGTGTTATGGAGAGGTGAACAGTGTTATAGGAGGTGAGAACAGTGTTATAGGGAGAGGTGAACAGTGTTATAGGGAGAGGTGAACATTGTTATGGGGGAGGTGAACAGTGTTATGGGAAGGTGAACAGTGTTATGGGAGAGGTGAACAGTGTTATGGGAGAGGTGAACAGTGTATGGAGGTGAACAGTGTTATAGGGCGAGGTGAACAGTGTTATAGGGAGAAGATGAGGAACAGTGTTATAGGAGAGGTGAACAGTGACAGAGGGTGAACAGTGTTATGGGAGAGGTGAACATTGTTATGGGAGGTGAACAGTGTTATGGGAGGTGAACAGTGATGGGAGAGGTGAACAGTGTTATGGGAGGTGAACAGTGTTATGGGAGAGGTGAACAGTGTTATAGGAGAGGTGAACAGTGTTATGGGAGAGGTGAACAGTGTTATAGAGGTGAACAGTGTTATAGGGAGAGAATTGAACAGTGTTATAGGGAGGTGACCAGTGTTATAGGGAGAGGTGAACAGTGTTATAGGGAGAGGTGAACAGTGTTATGGGAGGGTGAACAGTGTTATGGGAGGTGAACAGTGTTATAGGGAGAATTGAGACAGTGTTATGGGAGGGTGGGAACAGTGTTATAGGAGGTGAACAGTGTTATGGGAGAGGTGAACAGTATTATAGGGGAGAATTGAACAGTGTTATGGGAGGTGAACAGTGTTATGGGAGAGGTGAACAGTGTTATAGGAGAGGTGAACAGCGTTATGGGAGAGGTGAACAGTGTTGGGAGGTGAACAGTGTTGTAGGAGAGGTGAACAGTGTTATGGGAGAAGTGAACAGTGTTATGGGAGAGGTGAACAGTGTTATAGGCGAGGGTGAACAGTGTTGCCGAGGAAGGTGAACAGTGTTATGGGAGAGGTGAACAGTGTTATGGGAGAGGTGAACAGTGTTGCATAGGGAGAGGAGTGAACAGTGTTATAGGAGAGGTGAATAGTGTTATGGGAGAGGTGAACAGTAGTGTTATAGGAGAGGTGAACAGTGTTATAGGAGAGGTGAACAGTGTTATAGGGAGAGTGGAACATTGTTATAGGGAGAGGTGAACAGTGTTATAGGGAGGTGAACAGTGTTATGGGAGAGGTGAACATTGTTATAGGGAGGAGTGAACAGTGTTATAGGGAGAGGGAACAGTGTTATGGGAGAGGTGAACAGTGTTA